AGGCTTAAACATAACCTCAAACTATACTATAAAACAAAATGGAGGCCTCCTTTTAGGTGCAAGTGTTTTTGACAAAAATGAATGTTTGGCTAACTTTGTTATATACAATTTTGACTTATTCAAATGTTCATTCATTTACACTGTACTTAAAAAACTTTCAAATATTTGTTGAACCTTTTCTTTGAATTATTTATATTAACCATAATTTAAATGAAAAAGAATTATAGCAGCTGTCTGTTTTAATGTTTGTTCTGTACCTCTGCAGCGTTTATTTGAAATTCACCCATAGGAAGCAGCTGTAGAGTGTGTATCAGCTAGATAGAGAAAGGAGACCAAGCAGCTATTTCCTGATGGCTACCTTCCCTACAAATTTGGCCAACAATAACACTATTGGCACATGCAATAAAAGGAACTGAGCGGCAAGCCAAAGGCCAAATTACTGGGCTGGTTCATGTGTTTATCTGGAGATCTACATCTGTCTGTGGCCTTGAGTAAACATGGGACTTTTCCAAAGCATCAGTCTCCTCTAAACATAATTAACAAAGAAGTCACAAAAAATCTGTGATAGTAGACAATACACAAGCTTACTATCTCAGCAGCATTGTGTTGGTGGAATCTCAGGAATTTTGTTTTTTCAGAGGAACTAATTCAGCTCTCAGACCAAATTAATACGGGTCTGGCCTTGCATTAAGCAAGCACTTTGCCAAGACTCTACTGGGACAGACCTGTTCCATTAAAAATGACTGCTGATGTGCTAAATGTAGGAAAATAATCACTCCCAGGATGCAGATGATGCAGTCAAAGGTCTTGACATGGCAGTTAGACTGGCGTAGTTCCTCCCACACAAACTGACATTAGCTGCCAGGAGAATTTCTCTACTCTCTCTCTTAGGCTTAAAATATTACAAATATGACAAACTATGGATAGCAAAATGGGCTCTGGCAAGGCAGCACTTTAATTATGTTTTAACAGAGATTCTCTTTAATTATGAATAATTGTAGAGGGTAATAAAATGTCCCTGCATGGGGCTTGACCTAAAGCTTTTGGGTGGCCCTCAATAGAAAGATGAATTGCTCCAACATCTGTAATAAGAGTTGTTGCTAAAAGAGAGCTGACCTTCGCAGAAAATTACTCGCAAAGATTTATTAAAAGATAAAAGGAATTAATGAGTGCTGCTTCTGTTGAGTAGTGCACCACGAAAGGTATTTTTGTACTGTTTGTGCGTTTCTGTTTGTGTGTGCACCTGATTTTGTCAGAGCACGTGTGATTTGTAGCTGGGTTTTGATGTTGTTTTTTGACATGGATGACTCCAGAAATCTTCAGTGCATCTTAATATCTATGTTGATGATTGTCAGAAACCGCTTTATTCTTATCCTGTGATATACAGTGCCATTATTTGGTGTTTATCTTTAAACATGTAGTTTATGTCTGTATCTCTCTCTGTTAAACACATGCATGTACACACACACACACAACATATAGGACACATAACACGCAGCACTGTCCAATTAGCCAAACACCTCTTCTATCTAGTCACATGCATCTTTCTGTCTGTCCATGCACAGTTAATGATAGTGATTGTTGTGCATAACTTTGACTTATGCCTCTTTAAGTGCAAATCTATTTTTGCATGCTTGCATGGTATAATATGTCCTAACACATAGCTGAAGCAGACAGTTGACCATTTCCAGATCTGTAACCAAATGACAGATCATTAGACTGTAGCGGTAAGTGTTGCACTAATTAACTATGAAGTCAGTAGATCAGCTTCTTGCTGCATGTGACCTTCCCGTTCCTGAAACGATTTCTTGCAAGTGGATTTTTATAACACTTGTCACTGACAGTCACGAATGGGGTTCTACAAAAACCTTAAAGCATTTATGTCAATGAACATCAGCTGGCAGCCCACGGGCAATATCCGACTCATTAGCTCATCCCGTTTGGTCTGCATGCTGTTAAATTAACAACAAACAGAGTCAGACCCAGTCATCAGTTTGCTCAGTTTCAGAGTGTGATCAGGCTCAATGCAGAAACAGAAAAACCTCTCATCAGAATTGTTGTGTAGCTCACACAGTTAGCTCAATAGCATGTGAGAAGTGCTGAAACACAAAACATGGGTTTGAATTCACCATTGAGATTGCTAATTTTTCTTTAAGTTCTGCAGTTATTAAGTTTTTTGTGTGAGTTTGTTTTGCAGGGACTGTTGCAGATGTGGGTAACTGTTGAATAAATTATCTTTGTTCCTAATGTAGCTACTCTCAAGTTAAAGTAAAATAAGCCCTGTCTTAACCGTGCCGTGCTTGCAGTGCTTATCTTTGGTCGTTATTGTCAAACAAAAAAAGAAACATTTTCTGATAACTTTAAGGAAAATAAATAGCAAAGACTATCTATTGATAGCAGCAGAAATTTAAAAACAGAAGACTGTTCATATTTACTAGAAAAATACATTATTAAAGCCTTGCACATACTCTGGTTGTAATAATTTTTTCATGCACTTTGTTTTAGACAGTCGTGGGCACAGCTAACCAAAAAGGTGGTTGGTTTCCTCTTTTCAGTTAATCTGCTTCAGCTGCTGGCTGCTAATGTATCTTCTAACTTTAGTCTTACAAATGGAATTTATTTGTACAGAAAATATACATTGTTGGACACAGTAGGTTTTACTGAATCTATTCCTGCATTCTTAAAACCATGTGAGCTCCTGCGTTAGTTGTGGCTGTATCACTGAGCTAAAACGATCAGAATGTGTTCATGTGGCAGAATTATTTCTGCCCCAATAAGGCTTTATCAGCACTGCCTGCAGTTCTGAATACTGCTGACAGAGCAATATAACAAATCTACTGCCCTATAACTGCGAATAAGTAAAAAAATATGTGTCTGATTCAACAAAAATCTGATTCAGTTCCATTTAAATGTATCCAAGTAGTTAAAAACACAGAACAAAACAATACAGAGCAAGCTAAGTCATGAAATAATTTATTTATTTTGAGGAATTGTTTTAGGTACACTTATGAACTGTCTGTGCCTAATGGAAAAGAACAAATAGTCAAAATATATATTGATTTGTTTTCTACAACCATACCATAAAATATAGTGTCCTATGTTGTGGTTAACACCGTTGTGTCATAGCCAGTGTCCATTTGTGTATTTTCTGTTATTAGTTTACAGTCTCCTCCTGATGTTTTCTCCATGTATCCTGGTGTTTTTCCATTCTGTCTCCTGTCAATCCTTCAGCCCCACCCTCACTGACCTGTGTCCTCTTGTGTCTCCTCCAGGTGTTTCTTGTTTTCCCTCATTATTTGGTCATTATATTCTGTTTCGTTTCCTCAGGGTTGGTCTGATCATTGTGCTGTTTTCTCAGCCAGTGTGAATGTCTCCTCGTGTTCTACTTCTCCTTGTTGTTCATCTCAGTGAGCTCTTTAAAGCTGCCCTGACAGCCTTTTTCTTTATAAATAAATATTTTATTTTGATAGCCTTAACTCTGCCTGTTCCCTGGGTTATCTGCTGCCATTCTCACACAATGACTTTATTTATGCCCTTTGGTTACACGTTTTCACTGCTCGCAAGATGAACGAATGTGATCAAGATATACCTAAAGGGTTTGAAAGAACAGTGCCACCATACAAATCATAATCAGAACATTAAAGGAGTTCCACGCTGTGCAAAAAGTGACCCCTGCATTGACAAACGTGATTGCACAAGAGGCAAGAATCTAAAAACCACCACTGAGGCCATTATAAAAATTAGGAGTGATTTTGGTCCCAATATTTGAAGGCAGTCAAGTGGTCACTGAACATAGCTGTTGTGACTACCTACTCCCTTCACATAGCTACATATAAATGACAGGATTGTTGCCTTTTAATTCTTTTTTCTCACAAACTCTCAAATACCTCAAAAGTCAGATGGCTTTGTTGCATTTGACTCTACTAAATATCTGTAGGCGTTTAAAGAAACACACTTTTGTTTTTTGAAAAAAATATCCAAGTAACTGAATTCTTTATACTCATACTTTGGTTGTTAAATGGTTTGTTTAGTTATCACAGTATGATGTATGAACCACCTGCTGACCATCTGTTAAATTGTCTCTGGAATTGCCCTCTGATTGGATAGTTCGGAATAACTTTGTCACCATCTAGTTTAGCTTGAAACCTAAAACAGAGTTTAAATTTGCTTTTAGGATTTGAAGTCTCTGAGGCTTTGTGAATTCTGAGTTTAGCACACTAATGCATGTGAACAAATTCTTACAAAACCACTAACACTTCCTTTTAATGTCATTGCATCTAAATGTTTTATTTTATTTTTTTAAAGAAAAACCCTCAGGGTAAAGAAAAGATAATCCAACACAGTTTGGAAAATAAAACTGATTACTCAGATTCAAATTTCCCTCAGGCTTTGGCCCAGAGGTTTATTATTTATTACCGACTGTAGGTGATGTAACTTCAATTAATGAAATGTAAATGTAAATACAGACAAAGTAGAAAAAAACTCCACAGGGAGTTACTGCATAGAAGTAGAATGAAAACTTGAATATTTAAAACAGCACAATCATATTATCAATCCAGCTTTGAGAAAAAAGACAAAAAAATTGCATCTATCCATCCATTATCTTTTACCCGCTTCTTCCTTTCAGGGTCATTTGGGTTACCATATCCAGCAGTCACTGTGCGAGGGGCGGGGTACACCCTGGACAGGTCACAAATTCATCATAGAGACAAACAAATAATCATTCACTCTCTCACTCACACCTAGGGACAATTTAGAGTTACCACTTCACCTAACAGTCATGTTTTTGGTTTGTGGGAGGAAACCAGAGCACCCAGAGAAAACCCACACATGCATGGACAGAACATACAAACTGTACCCAGAAAGGTTCTTGGCTCAGTTTTGATCTGACAACCTTCTTGCTAAGAGGCCACAGCTCTAACAACTGAGCCACCAAAACAACAAAATTATAACCACCTAATATTTTTTTAATAGTATTTTGTTTGTTTTTCTCCATCCAGAGGGAGTGTGTGAGATCTGGTTGACTAGTGAGGACACAGGAGCTTATGGTCGAGACATTGGAACAGACCTGCCCACGCTGCTGTGGAGGTTGGTGGAGGTGATTCCTGAAGGAGCCATGCTGAGGGTGGGGATGACCAACCCACCTTATATCCTGGAACATCTTGAGGTGAGCAGATTGTAATCTGGTGTCATTTTTAACTTTGTTGAACAATTTATGTCCTAGATCTATTATTTTTTATTCTTTATTTATTTATTTTTTTGCTTTTTCATTCATTTACTCGTTTTCTTCATACAGGTTAGTCTCACTGAAACACAATTGTCTCATTTGCAAGAGAGACCTGATCAATACAATCAATGAAACAGATTAATTCAAAATAAACTTATCAACAAAATCACATCAAAAATAATTCAATTTAGAGCTACCCTAACTTTAAAAGTTATCAAAATTCAAGCTTAAGCACAACCTCAGGCTAACTCATCACAAAAATAGAAAAAAAAACATGGACTCCTAAAAAGAGACATGAATGTCCTAATTTTCAATGTGTTAATGTGATTTATGCCCCATCACACATTTACAACAGAAATGCACAAACTCTCATAGTTTCACTTAAAAGTACCATGAAGAAAAATGATAGACATGATAAATAAAACTAGAATACTCAAGCTTAGAATACTTTTTTTGACATCTTCCTTTTCACCTGATAACCAAATCTGCCATTTTCTGTGTGAGAAAACCGTGCTGCTTACATTTAATAAATTACATGGCCATTCTTTCTGCTTACTGAGCACTTTAGCTCCAGACTTCTCCTTCTAATCATTAGTTCATTTTATTCTTCTCTAATGAGTCTATTTAAAACCATTATGTCCTCTTTAGCAACCTAATTCTATCAGTCATTATTGTCGTTTCTAATGGAACAATGACCAGTGTTTACCCCTCTTTTCTCCCCACTTCTCCTTTTGAGTTCTGCCATTTCAGTGGAATATGCAGAGATTTGTCTTGCCTTTTTTTTTCTTCTTTTTATTCTGTCATTGCTTTTGAATCATTGTATCTAAGATAACGATACATCCATCATTTAAGAATGTATACATCTGTGGTATGATTTCAGGCAATTCTACTCACAGTAGCTGAATAGAAAACTGATTGGCAGATGAGTCCAGTGGATACAGAGAAAATAGTTACAGAAATTTTTATTTTATTGATCAAAACATGCAGCCTCAAAACCACAATGTTCAAGAAACGAGAATGTTTTCTACTTCTAGTTATGACTTGTTTTCTAAATCAATGATTTCCTGAAAAAATGTTATCACTGTCAACAGGCCAAAAATACTTTGTGAGCTGGAAAGTACTTTTATTACCAACTCCACCACAGGAACCCATAAGGGAATAAAGTTTTGGGTCAGGTTTTTTAACTTGTGTGTAAGGCTAATCCCTGTGAATCTTTCTAATGGGCGTCGTTGGTTTCTGACTCTTCATTAAAGCTTGTGACATGTTTTAAGGTTGTACATCAAATATATTGGCAGCTGTTTGCAAACATGTCCAAACTCAAAAATTAATGCTTGTTTTATTCATCTGAGGAGTCAAAGCACCATCATGAGCTGCAGGAGGTGGAACAATACAAAAAAAAAATCCAAGGACAACTTGCAGCTATTGTGACAACAAAGCAGTAAATCAAAAAAATAGAAAACCACTCTTTGATTATTTCACAGCAGTAAAGTATTGAAACACAAGCGAAAACACCCACTTCTCTGTAAAAAAAAGTTTAATAAATAAATTGATTATTTAATTCACAGCTGTGTTTTTGGGAGCTTCAGAGGATTTAATTTGCCTAATGTGCTCTGTAGTTAAGATTTTAATAGAGAAGAAAGAACCAAGGATGAAAATATTATTTTAGCTTCTTAAGCTTTTAGCTACTAGATATGTCTCGTGAAAATACTAGTATATAAATTTATAGTAAGACATTTTATGTTGTAGTAGAAAAGACCCAACCAAATAACCTCACTACACACTAGCTCTTTAAAGTTGTTTCTGCAACTCCTGCTGCTATTTGCCCTTCTAACTAACTATAGGATTCTACACTCACCGACCACTTTATTAGGTACACCTGTCCAACTGCTCGTTAACACTTAATTTCTAATCAGCCAATCACATGGCGGCAACTCAGTGCATTTAGGCATGTAGACATGGCCAAGACAATCTCCTGCAGTTCAAACCAAGCATCAGTATGGGGAAGAAAGGTGATTTGAGTGCCTTTGAACGTGGCATGGTTGTTGGTGCCAGAAGGGTCGGTCTGAGTATTTCAGAAACTGCTGATCTACTGGGATTTTCACGCACAACCATCTCTAGGGTTTACAGAGAATGGTCCGAAAAAGAAAAAACATCCAGTGAGCGGCAGTCCTGTGGGCGGAAATGCCTTGTTGATGCCAGAGGTCAGAGGGCGGTTCGCAACGCTGTGATCGCTATCGCGTCCCGTGTGTCGGGTTTCACCCTGGCTGCGATGACAGCCGTTAATCGCTGTTTGTCGCTGCCCGTGTGTCGAGCCCTTTAGTGAGTGTGAATACTCACTAAATAAAACTCATT